TATAAAGCTATCAGAATGAGGGACATCTTTCAATTGTTCACAATGCTAGCAATTCATCAGGCTTCTTATGTTCATAGTCTGTGGGTGGTTTGTTTGTCTGTTGACTTTAAATACAGAAAAGCTGAAATAACGTCAATGGATGTTATTCCTCTATAGGGTGGAGGTAAAGACACGATTACATCTCCATGAAGTTCCAACCACAAGATGAGGCTTCCAGTGGAGTGAAAAGGATGTGAAGTATGTTTACAAAATATCAGATTGCCTTTCATTCACAGAAAGCCTGGGACCACTGCATGGAGAGAGGCCAAATTGCAGCAGTTGAGCCATATGTAGCTTCCAAGTAGTTCAAATTCTGCTCCCATTCTAGGGTTAAATTACATGATCAAGTCTGTGCTGATACAGAGGCTGCTAGGAAGTAAAACAAGGGCTTACAGGCCTTGTACGTACTACAGATGACTTTGCTGGGTCATCTTGGACACATCCACTACAGGTATCCTCTCTGAATTGTGAATCACTCCAACCAAGCTAAGTGGTTCATATCTTGTGGCTCTTGACTCAGTGATGATGAAGAATACAGCCTATAGAGTCAGAATGTTTGTGCTGAGGCTGTCTTTCCTTTGATCTTAATAGGAACCTGATCTTTTTTTTTTCCCCTCATTGCATCTGATACTGCAATTACTAAGACCTTTGCTCATCACAAAATACTTCCTTAATGGCAGAAAAAGGTACAATATAAAGTGAAAGGGAAATGCAAGTCGCATAAAATTTCCAAGATATCGTTCAACAAGGCTTAGAAAAAGCTTCTAGGAAGGTAGGTGGGCCCCTTTATGGCATAGATGGAGAATTCAGTGATTGCCATCCACTTGTAAATCATAGATAATCATAGATGCACAACAGATTTTGCTATGGGACTGAATTGTTCATAAGATTGGTAGTTGGGCATTTGAGATTTTTTCCTGTCTAGTTCAGTAGTTCAATTCTATCAATTCTATCGAAAGTATCTAATGGGCAGTAACTTTAGGGACATAGCAGAAATGAAATGAGATCTTTCACCATTGACCAAGTACACCCCCCCCCCAAAAAAAAAGGAAAAAAGAAAGAGAAAAAAAGAGACATCTTTGTTGCACTGACGCTTCAGTATCTCTCTGATTTAAGGACTTCTTCACACAGAACTAGGTAGAGGTAGGACAGTATAGACCATTTAAGACAACTAGTGTCTAAGTTATGATGTACAGTAATATAATGCTATATGAAAGTGTTACAGTTTCTCAACAGTTGAATAGGCACTGCTGAAGCAAAGAATGCAATTATGAAAGTTATCACTTTTGTATGCAGGAATACAAAATGTTACCGCTCACTACAGTTCAGATACACAGTTCTATTATTATTACTAATACCATCTTTCTATGCTGTTCTGACTTTAAAACTATTCCATTGTGTTCAATTCCAAATATTTATTCTTTAAGAAGGCATTAGTATTTTTAAAGGAAGAAATATATATTTTTTAAAATATTAAATTTTATTTGAAAATACTGTAAATTTTACTTTTAATTGGTTTACAGTTCAAATTGTAAGGTGTGTTCTTTTTTGTTCAAGAATTTTAAAAGCAACTAATTTAAATATGCAAAATTATCTTGAGTTGTTCATACGTGAACTTAAAAGCCATGCAACACAGGAAAATTAAGTAATTATGCCTCCAAGTTATTTACTGCAATTAAGCTCATTTATCATATGCAAATTAGTGCAAACTGGTCTCATTAGTTACTAAATTACTCAATATGAGCTGAACAATGTAGCACTCCAGTTTGTAATGAAAAATCCCTGTAGAGGCAAGCAGTATCAATTAAGCTAATTTGCATATGCAAATATATTCAGTAACTTTCCCTTTTCTCTATATTTAGTTCTACATTTCCTGATCATTCCTGATTATATGAAGAATATGGGGTTACTGACCCTTTTCCACACCTTCTCAACAGCAATGAAGTTACAGAAAAAATCCAGGGGCCTTGAAAAAAATTATAAACGTCTTGCTAATTTTTACAACTAGTTTCAGCCAAGTTTTTGAATAGCAGGTACCAGAAGTAATACTTTTTTACTGGATTTATTTAATAAACAAATATAAGATATATATACAGAATTATAAAACTGAGGATGTCTTTACTAAAGTCTATTCACATTCTTTGTAGAAGAAGAATGTAGAAGATAACGAAGCATACAATTTGGCAAATTAAAGTCTAGTAAAAAATTAATTAATGTATTGCCATTATCTATTTTTCTTCTCTATTACAAGCATTTCTACTGTTCATTGTTCAGGTGATTTTACTTAAAAAACATTTAGAAGTCTTTTTGCCCTGACATGAAGATTCTGATATAATAGCACTTGGTCATTCACGTTTTGTGGTGTCTTTTTTCCCACAAGCACACAGTGGACAGCGTCTTTGGCTTCAAACCTGCTGTGGGCATCTATTCAGCATGATATACAGCAATCAGCTATGGCTTGGAAATTTTTTGACATGACTAACTGACACTACTTGCTTGTAGAATCAAGATGTAAAATATCACAAGATGCACCTCCATTTCTCTTTTTACAACGTGACTATAAATAAACTATATCTACTTTTTAAAAACATACTGTATTATGCTTCTCATGTGTCTCTCAATAAATATTGAAGTATCAAAATATTAGAAAGATTAGAGAGGCTTCTTAATTTCTGAGCTTACACTTAACCCAGTCTTCAAAATATTAATAGCAAAAGGGATTAAACAAACTAACTATTAATTCAACTACCTCAGATAGCAGACTCTGAAATCAAACACAGCTATTCCCAAGGTATAATCAAGGTTGTTTACTTCACTTGCAAACAATACTTATCATAATACGGCTTTGAAATCATTTCTAGGAGCAGCAGACTAAATGAGAACTTGTTAGAACTGTATTCCACCACGGAATCTGTTTGACTGTTGTTTTACAAACCACTTTGTATTCTGGAGATTATCTTTCTACCTATAAGACCACAAGGCAGTACTTTGAAGTTTGTTCAGATATGTTAAAAGCGGTGCATTTGAATGCATGACATAGACCTTCCTTCCAAGTGTTGATTACTCTGCTAAAATAAGACAAGATTTTTAACATATCATGATAAACTTGCCACCATTATTAATTCATTTTGTCCTTTATCCATCATCAAGAGTCTATTCTCTTTTAAATGTCAGAGTGGAACTTTCTATTATCAATTGAGAGATTAATGGGAGTAATTTGGTAAAAGCACCACCCTCTCTGAAAAGGCCACACCTCAACAGACATTCAATATGATGCTGATGGTAATTTTGACTGAAAATCCTCAATTACAGGTACAACTGCAATACAGGGGTTTTTTTACTAGTAGCATGATAAAGTTATATCCCGAAAACACCTTAATTTATCACATATAAGTACAAAAAATAAAATCCAAAAGGAGAATCTAGCTTAAATAAGTAATAAAATCACTAATTGCTTTAATACGCAATAAGTGAAAAACTCAAACGTCACGTAGTTTTCAAAGTGGCCATCCTATGTATTTTCATTTTCATCCATAAAGGGTCATACCTAATACTTAAGAAGTGTATATAAATCAGTCTCAATGAGGTTTTATCTAGATAATTGTTCTAATTCATATTGTAATAAACATACCTTTAGGATATATAGTACATGTTTCCATACTCAAAATAACACACTGACAAATTACTTAAACTGAAATATCACAAAACTGCTATTTCTTCATTTTTTCTACATTTATGAGACAGCATGACAGTGTTTCTGTCTAATATGCAAACACAGGGCTGTAGATACTGATGCAGATGTCTTTGATACAGTAACTAAAACACAAGTATTTGCTTACAGAATCAAAAACTTGACCTAGACCTCTGCCAAAGGTGTACAACTAAGTAAATAATTTCATTCATGATTTTTGTTCCAAAGAGAAATTCATTCTACTAGTTAATTTCATGTTTTCTTGTTTTCCTAAAATTATCTTTGTTGCTATTCTGCATTTAGTTACTTTATAAAGATGTGAAAAATCTGACATTATCCATAGTGCTTTTGAATGCCACAGCTGAGGTAGTACAGAGAAATAGCTCTCAATCATTTCAAATTAAGTGGAATATTTCTCATGATAATATCCTAATTTACCTCTTTTGTACCTCTCAAAAGATAATACACCAAGCAATATATTTGCATTGAGAAGCTGTGTACGTTGTTAAATAACAGTAGTTATTCAGTGCCGCACTTAGAAAAGACTACACGGTTTTTATTTCCATAGTGCTGGGTTTTTCGCCCTGCTGACAAAACACATCACATTTTGTTCTTAACTGCTTCTGCTCCATGTTTGATTACCACAACCTAAGAAAGGTTGTAGTAACCCTGACCAAACAAAGCATGCATAAGAATGTTTCCATCAGGTCATTGTTTTTCAGTTTAATCTTCCTGGAATATAACAACTTGTACAGTGTGACTAAACTCTTTGACAAATATCAGATTAGTTTTTATCTCATTGCTAAGGACACCTAAGAGGCATGCCACTGTTCATTTTTTTCTCTTTGCAGATTGTTGCAAATTTGTGATATATAATTGTGACAACTGGGATATCAGGGAGGAAAGCAGTGCTTATAAACCAAAGTGAGGGAAAAAAACCCTAAATCTATACGTGACACATAAGGCAAATCAAATTACCAACACAAAATACTGTTTTGTGCACACATACATACAAATACATAAAGGCATTCTGTGAGCAAACACTTATTGCACAGTTCTAAACAGCAAAATATTATGATTCTGCTAAATAATACTTGCCCTCCGTCTCATTAACATTCTCCCAATCATGGGCTTTCTAAAGAGAAGGAAATATGAGCTTAAAAAAAAAAACCTCATTAATATAAGTGCTGAAAACAATACTATTTAAATTATTAGCAGAAATATGACTAGCTAGTTATTTTGATTTTTCTTGGAAAAGCCATTTTTTTACCTGTAAAATATGACTTCCCAAATGTGATTCAAATACTTCAATGGCAAGGGCACTGGGACTTCTCCTGCGCTGGGCACCTATAACTGAATAAAAAACAGTTATGTTGCAAGGTCTGTACATTCACGTCTAATGTGCTCCTGATCATACCATTTGACATTAACTATTTAAATATGTTTCGCATTTTATACACCAGTGTTAATTTCAAATTTGCCTTGCATATAGTAAATAAAATTTGTATGTAATTTTCAGTGACTCAAATTTGAAGGATAAAAATATCCCCCCTGCCCCCCCCCCCAAAAAAAAAAAACCCACCCCTATTTAAATATCCAAGAACTCTGGAAATTAATCATTTATTCAAATATATCCCAAGTCCCTGTAGAAGGTTTTTTTGTACATGGTGATGACAGCATGCAGAATTTAGTGAAAAATACTATTGAAAAAGAAGCTACACATAATGGAAATGTTTTGAAATGTGGGAATGAGAACTAAATATTACTCAGGAGGTAGGAAGATATGAGAGATTTATCTGAATATGTTATTCATCTTATTTGAAACTGAAATGAAGTAAACACAACATTAAAAAGTCAACATTTGTAAACACATCTGAGATATCAAAGTTATTGCTAAGCATAGGGAAGTATTATAGTATCCCAGATATCCATGTTAGTTGCTGGAACACGTACTTGAAACTTCAGCTTCTACTTTTAAATTATATAGTTTAAAAGTACCAAGTGAGTAATAAGGTGTTATGTTTCAAAGGCAGTAGTGAGTACAAAAAAGGCTGAGAAATCATAAAACTACTATTTCGTTAAACTTTCTATGCCAGGAGCACAAAGCCAGCAATCGAGTCTGAGTATAACCAAATGTAGGCATCTACTGCAAGCTGATGTTTCTTCTTGGGTCTAGGCTGTCTTTGCCACATGACCAGAGAAAGCTAGAGCACGGAGAAGAGGGCACAGGGCTGCAGGAACTTTCCCTTCCTCTCCTGTCTTAGTGTCAAAGCCAGGCATACCCATAGAAGAGAGAAGAGGTGAAGTTCATCCTGCACCCTTCTAAAGTGCACAGAAAAACATTTACATCCAAAGAGCGTGATGGTCTAATGCCTCTGGAACCATCACAGCACTAGTGCATCTCTACGTATTGCTCTGTTTACAACGTGTGATAAGAAAAATGAAATAACAGGGATCCGCTAAAACAAGCAGAATGGATGACTGCCATTACAGAACAGGCTAATTTAACACCAATGAAAACAAAATACAGAGCAACAATTTCTTAGTCTTCTATGATACTGGCTGCCAAACATGATATCAGTAAGAAAAGATAAATGCCAAGTAATGATAGTCATATTGACCTAAAAATGTAATATCATTCCTTATTGATGCTTCATGTAATTTCCTTGCAGGAAATTCTAAGCTATTTATACTGGGCAAACAGGTGGCTTCATTGCTAATAGATTCAGGCAATAGCTCATAATTACAAATGGTGACTGCTGTACAGCCAGTATTTTCTAAGTCCTCCTCTTTTCTCTGAAGGCATTCAAGGACATAGATGCCAACAACCTAAGAGAAAAGTCTTCTTCAAGACTTCTGCTTTACATTGCAACTAAAGTTGGTAATAGACCAACTGCTGTACTTGTTTGGTTTTTTTTTTAACTTCAGTTAGTATAGTGACTGACCAGACATGTCCGCATAATATTATCATTTTACAAGTTTTAGGTACTTAGTCGGTCTTATATTTTTCTCTATCAGCCTTCTGATTCTAAATCATTTTGCTTCTCTTTGCAATGTTTCATCTTTTCTATAGCTGTAGTGAAGCCTACTATAAACAGCAATGCTTATTTCATGAAAAAAAGAGACCACATTAAATTTTCAAGCAACTTAGACTCCTTTAACTTTCCTTTTTGCAGGCAGACTTAAAGATGATCCTTCTTTTGTCCTTACTCTGCCTCCAGATACAATATCAAATGTTTGCTTAAACCGGAGTTGTACCTATATTTCTGAGAGAAACTTTAGCTTTAGTTGTATGACTAAACAAAATATAAAGCACTGTAAAGATTATCAGTATTCCCATTATGATTGCTATCAGTTAGCACTGTACTTTGTATGGTCATTTCATTTATCATCTTCTAGAAACAAAAAGGAAATTCAGTTTTGGTCTGCTAGGCCTTGCTTCATAGTAGTCTCTGTGAAAGCATTGTAAAAAGCAACCCCCCCCCCAAATCACAAAACCTCCCTGAAATCCTTTACCTCTTTTCATTCTTCCATCTAGACTGTATTGTTGTATTTTCCATGCATTGTCTGAACACATCATCATTTGGAATTTGCCTTCTGATTAATTTTGTGATTCCTGCCCCATATCCTTCCTTTACAATCCCCTAGCATTTAAAGGGTATCCATTACATATTGAATATCGCTTCCAGTTCTATGATGTTAATTGTTCATTGCATGTGTTTTAGCAAGTGGGTATCATAACTTGAATAAAGTTCATGAAGACAGTGCAACACTTTTTAAAACAGTATCTTTAAATGATATTTACAGGTAAGTCATCAGTTCTTCATACTTGGGACACTCTCAGTTCTATACCTCAAATTAAAACACTTCAAGGTCAGTGAGTTAACTAGAAAACAACAGAGGGCCAAATCTTAGCTTTAAAATTTGTCAATTAAATCCTCTATCAATGCCTTCATCCTAGTGGCTGGTATACACATAGACAAATATCTTGTAGTACTTTCATGCCATTCAGTTCACTGACATTTTTATAGCAGTAGAACTCTGATTTATGTGTCTTGCACTTACTCAGGTGATGTGGAGTTGTAATGACAGTTCCTAATTTTACAACCAGCATAAATATGTTAAACAGAAAACCATTATGCTTCTGGTAGCCACACTGTGACTCTTTTTTGGTAACTGAATAGGTGTTAAATATGCACTTTCTGCATTTCATTCATTTTCCTAAGTATCATTCTTCACATTTTGAGGAATGAGACAAGAATATTGAGGTAAACCTAGAATAACGGAAACAAACTTTTTTTATTTGATCTTCTGACTACATTGCTTCATTATTTCACTTACTCGAGCTTTCAAGATTTCTTGATACCTAACTGCATCAGAAGAAATACACCATTGTGGGTACACAAATACCTATCACATTGATACCTTTCAAAAACATGGCAATCTCACAGTCCAATCACAGCAGAAAGCCTCTTATTTGTACTGAATGGATTGCTGGCATGACAATAGATGAAAGGAAGACATAGACTGAAACTGTTGGATTAAAAAGCAGGCAACGATGTTATTTTATTCTACAATTTCAAAACATAAACTATAAATACTGAACTGGCTTGCATCACACAAGCCACAGCCAGTCATCTCTAAATCTCTCATACTGTGGATGGAACCAGCAGCAGCCACAGCTCAGCTGCTCACAGAAATCTTGAAAAGCAAGGCATTTAGAATTTCTATCACAACATCTGTAAATCAAAGTAGCTCAACAACCTTCACAGACCTAATGATCTGGATGCACATTTTTTAAAAAATGTAGATTCCTTTTTAAATGCAGACTCTTTACAGAAACAAAGTCCTGCATGCATGCAATAAATGTCTTCTTTTGAGTAGCAGGAAGTAGAGGAAATTGGGATGTGGTGAAGGCTGAAGCATGCATACCAAACTGCAACAGGAGTCACAAAGGAAACAAGTTCCAAACCCAGGTTAAATTCTTCTTCCAAGCTTCTCCTGTTTTAGTGGTATGAACAAGAGCCTATCTTTAGATAGGCTTTTTCACATGTGGTCATATTTTGTGCTGTCTACATTTAATTGACAAAGTTTAAGGTCTGAATGCACAATTGTGGTTAATCAAAAAGTTGACTGAACCAATATTTGCATTAAATATTGACTGTTAATAGTGACTTTCTAGTGCTGGAGCAGAGGAATATGTCTACTAAAATCTTTTACTTTCCATGGCATTGGGCCATGACTTTTACTGTCCAGACTGACATGTCTATTCCTGGCATAGGATTATTCCATAACAAGCTATTAACAAGGAAAAAATTCTAACTGCTCACTAATTCCTCTTTAAATTTCATCCCTTAATGACTAATCTGGCTATACATGAGGTGAAGGAAGAACCACATCCCTTTCAGTGTGTCTTGGGGGCAGTCTAAGCATGCTTAATGCAATCTCAAGAGAATTTGCAATTGTGCTAGGAAGAGTGGGAAACTATGGAAAAGAAAAATGTAGACTGCCTAACAAAGACTTCCACGCAACCTGAAGAGAGAGGATTTCCTCTTAAACTCACTTCTAAGCTATTGGAGCACAGAATGACCAAAGACTGATGTTCACTGTGACTTTCTACTGGAGAAGACAGAGTTCTCATTAAGCAGAAGCAGTATTCCTTGATCACTAGGAGTGAAAGCACGTATCACCAGCACAATAATCAGTTCCCTCTAAAATACTTTTGTGAGAGTTTGCATGCCACCTTTCAACATAAATTGTTTTTGTGGAAAGTTTGGTAAAATTCAGACCAAGAGTTTTAAAATTCTGTTGCTCTGATAACAATTTTAAAACTTGTTTTAAAAAACTATACTGACCTTTTTAATTAATTCCCCTGAACTATTATTTACTTATAAAGGCTTTTTCTCAATTAGCCTCAAAATCCTTATTTTTATTTAACTTTGTTGACTTTTCTGAGCAGCAGCTTTCTTTATGCTTGGAAGCAGAGGTGGACATAAGGCCATCCTGCTACACCCTTGTAGGTAATCTGCTGCCTGAAGAATTATAAAAAAACAGAGCTCATGTTTCACTTTTTTAATCTTGAAGAGCTCTAATTATGACTGCCAGTAAAGTCAGACTTTAATTAGCGAAGCCTGAGCAGTTCTACATAAATATGAAAGTTTATAAACACCCCACCAAAGCGAACATTATCCATTTTATTCACAAAATATGTAACCATATCAGGCTAATTGCACAGAAGCTTCACATAGGGTTGGCTAATATTTCTCCCTGTAGGTATCAACAAAATACATGATCATTTCAGATGAGAGAGCATAAGAAGTAGAGTTGTCTGAATTGTCTCAGGTGACTCTATG